AATAGGTCATATAGTAACAAATGATAATAAAGGTAGTAGTTTTAAAATCATTTCTACTTTGAAAGAGCATAATTAAAAAGTAATAGTTTGACCATGGATCTTAGTAACACACTCTATACGCCCAATAACTTAGTAGTAGACATGAATACCTTGTTAATATATTTTTTAAATTCATGTATATTTTATTCATGTTTTGATATATCATATCTTCTTTCAGGGTAGCTCAAAATGAAATGACTAGAATTTCTTTAAATGGATTTTGGAAATCATTGTACTTTTCTTTGGCAAGTATAACAAAAAGTAACAGAAATTAAACAAAAGGCCTGCAAGAATGAATACTACAAGATTATGGCCATTACTATGTTTTATTTTTATTGCCACAAGCCACAGTCTGAGACAGAAAATTAGGCTAATAACTGCTACATGTAAGCTTTACTTCAACATTTTGAATGTTACTTTTTATTGAAACAATTATTGTAGAATATTTTGTGAAATTTTGTGTTTATGTGAAGTTGTGATGTTTATTTGGTAAGATAGTGGTTACGTATATTAATATAAGTCAATATTTTGATTCAAGTGGTATAGAGTCTAGACAATACAACTGGAAATATTCTTCAAAGCACATAAATAAAAGGGGATATTATAAATTTTTAGCTTTTTGTTTTGTTTTATGATCTATTTTAATAAATTTAGACCATTTTTTCTTACCATTATTTTTGAAAACAGAAAATGAACAATGAAAATCAAAAAGTGTTTTTTAATTATTTTAGATATCATAAAATACTTCTTTACCTGTTTATGTGCTATTTATCATTGCAATATTCACTGTGAATATCAAATAAGTAGTTTGGCATGAACTATTGATATACAAATTTATGTTTTCTGAGAACTATTGTTTTTTATGATTGTTGTTTTTACAAAATTCTGATGTTATTTATGTGTTTTTTATAGCTCATATTCACTTATAAATGAAATAAATATTACATGTCTACATTATTAACACAAAATGAAATATGTAAAATAACTATCTAAAAATTATAAATAATCTACTTAGTTAATACTGTTTTAACTTTTTCTTTTTCACAATATTTTTAGAGGTCATCTCTTTCTCTATTTCTAGGTATATTTCCAATTTCATACATCTACATATATATAGATGATTAGTAATCTCTATTCATATTCTTCCCATAAGTTTTTTCCTTTTGCTTATTGTCTTGTGTCTATAATGTTTCCTAGTATAGTTCATTATTAGGTGAATCTTTTAAAGGAATGTAATATTGGGTTTTTTGCAACATTAGTGGCTATAATTTTGAATCTACTGATTTTATTGGGAATAAGCCACAGTTTTACTTTAAAATAAGATTAGTGTGATGCTTCGATTTCCAAAAACAAAATTTGTTTAATTTTAAATAAAAACAGTAATTTGTATTAAAATGCTAGAAGAAAATAGCTTCAGAATGCTTTCTAGCCAAAGCTAGCTATATAATCTAAAAATTAGATACCTGTGGTGTGCACAGCATCTAATTTGAGCACATGCAAACTGTTCTGCACTACATATTTTATTGGTAAAGCCTGAGGGACTTAGACGAGAGGTATGTCAAGGTTGAGATGGTGGAGATGAGAATGTCAGAAAGATCAGTGTTGCCAACTGACATCCAGCTGCACAGAATAGGACTGAATGGAGGAATCAGCTTGAGAAGATTGAGGCTCAACTTGTACTATACTCATAGCCCTAATGATGAGTTTTTTTTTATTAGCTTTGGATTGCTTGATCCATTCAGCCACGAGTGAAACTGACATCCAGCTGCACAGAATAGGACTGAATGGAGGAATTAGCTTAGGAAGATTGAGACTCAACTTGTACTATACTGATAGCACTAATGATGATTTTTTATTATCTTTGGATTGCTTGATGCATTCAGCCACGAGATATAATAAATACTGTTTGCTACAATATTAAATATAAGGATACTATATACATATACGCACATAGACAAACTTACGCACGCACATACATATATAGGTATTATTAAAAAAACAAAAAAAAAATACAAAAAGGAAGTCGAAACATTAAATTGACCTGATGAATATTAGGTTTTGTAATGTCTAGCACTAGACCTTGTAGTGTACTAAATGTGATACTAGTATGTAGCATACTGAAATGATTTAGTTTTAACCATGTGTTTCTTATTATTTTATTAGTTATCATCTACAACATTACTGTTTTTATTAAGTGTTCTAGTAAGACATGTTATTTGAAAAAATGTTTTTGAATGAATCTTACAAAAATTGATACCACTAAATTTGATATTCTACTAGACTAGTTATATTTTACAAAACATATGGAAACCTTGTTCTAAAAATTCAATTAGTAAAAATAAATATCATCAACATAAATTTATAACTTTTAAAGCACATAAAAAGAAAAAAATATATAAAAGAAAATATAGGACATTGTATTTTCTTAAGTTATAAAAACACATCAAATTTAAATATAGAACTCATAAAACCAACTATATTAGATAAAAACATATCAGCTAAGTCTTTATCAATGTTAAGAAAGAACGAAAACTTTGTACCTCAATAGTTTAACAGGGATATTTAATTTGATTTCTCTAAGAGCTCTATTGGAGCAAGTACAATTGATAATTGCATCAATTAACTTAAAAATAAAGTACATCAGCAATTACTTTTCTTTCTTCCAAGATATTAAAATTCAAAATCTTTCTGACTTCAATCCTCCATATTAATTTTATTATAAGTTTAAATGCAAGAAATCTTAAACTCTACTGCAACTGATCCTTGTGAATAGAATAGAATGGAGATGAAATAACATACATACTAGAATAGAAGGGATACCAAATAACTTCATACTCATACTCCAAATGCATTCTCAAGAAGACACCTGACAAAGGAAAAGTATATAGCTTTAGATGTATTTAGACATATTTAGATAATATGCTCTGAAAAAATTGAAACTTTCATAAAAAAAACACCCCAAATCTTTACCTGCATTCATGTACCTTAGATACAATTCGCAATGTAAACAGTTACCAGCCTATGGCTGGAACAAAAGAAGATTATGAAAAACCACTTGTTTACTTTTATAGATATGTTATTAACTTGTATCAATTTCCATAGGATATTTAAACCTATTTGGAGATTAAATAGCATCAATATAATATAAACTACTCTATATAATTTTAAATCATCAGAAAATATTACATACTTTGAGTAAAGCAGAAGTTTAGTTATATCATTGACAAAATTAATAGTAAAAACAACAGAAAGATCTCTGACACCCCTAATGCTATATAACCCCCATATATGGCTCATATTCACCTAAAGAGTAAACTTTCAAGCCATTAGCTTGTTATTGATATCCCAAGTTTAGCAATAAAAATGACTTTGAGGAATTGGTGTAGATAGGCTCCACCTCCTTGTCATTCTTCTATTCTTCTGCAGATCAACTTAGTAAACTGGCTGTTCAACTGTGACTGTCCCTCAGTATCATCATCAGCATCATTGGCTTTTACAACTCTTGTGAGTTTTTGCTGCGTTTACTATTGCCTTCCATTGATTCCGATCCTGTGCTACTATTTCCCCTGGCCTTACTTCCATCTTCTCCAGGTGTTCCCTGACTGCGTCTTTCCACCTTTTTCTAGGCCTTCCTGTCGATCTTTTACCATCTGGTCTTTCCCAAAACACATTGCTAATCAGTCTGTCATCATCACTCTGTACCATGTGGCCTGCCTATCTTAATCTATTGGCTTTTATGTATCTTACGATGTTTCCTTTCCCGAAGAGAGTCTCTATTTCATTGTTGTATCTGCTATGTTGTCCCTCAGGATGCCATCATAAATCACATAATGTATGTGCAAATTATTTATTGATGATATATTCACAGATCAGTCTGTTGTGTTCCAGTTAAATCCTGAGACTTATTATTATCTGTATTTAATTTTATAGATTGTTGTGTTCCAGTAAGGCCTGAGAATTATTATTATCTGTATTTAATAGTTTTGTTCATTGGGGCTGCTTTGATATAAAACAGTTTGACCATTCTGAACATAATTAAAAGCATATTTAGCTTTAATTATAATTTCTAACATTAATGATTTGTACACAATTTTTTACAAAAAAGGATAAATATTCAAGGGTGCTTACATTTATCTGTGTATTTAGGGAATACTTCAGAATTCTGTGCATTTGATATTCTGTTAATGAGTTGAAACAAGAAGTGTGCTCTTATAAAACTAGCTGTCAGATATTGATCAATAAGATAAGAATTATTCCATCCTGATTATATTTTTTAGTAAATAATAAGTCTTATAATCTAATTTCTGATAAACATGCACAGGTGTTTATATTTGAGACCTAATTTTATAAGAAATTATATTGAGCATTATAGTGAATGATACTTGCAATGTTTACGTTTAAATTTAAAATTGTGGGAAAATATGCACCTTCATAAGCACTCAACACATATGGTTTATTTACCATATATGTGTGAACATTACGACCACTCTGACTAAAACTATGATCTTAATATTATGATTTCATCTGAAGATGTGTGTATCAAGTAATCTAAGTAACTTGTGTTAATAGGCATTTCACTAATAAGGATATGCATAATATATGGGGTATTTTCATCTCAAAATATAAATCTACTGACATTTGACCATGTTTCAATGTTATAATAGTTTTACTTGTTAAAACCTAATCATGTAACAACTGAGTAACAACAAGGTTTGTTTAACTTGAGGAGTAAGATGTAATTTGTATATAGATATAACTACCATCAGTGTTTTTTTAATCTCATGTCTATTAAACTATGAACTGTCTCTTGTAAAATGGTCAATATGATAAACATATACAATCACATACATTACATAATAAGTATTTTGATAAACTTTTACTGTTACAGTAAAGTTCAAAGTCATTCCAAGAAAATGTACCTAGGTCAGGTATACAGAATGCAACTGATAGATTGCACTTACCTTTAAGAAGTGGTAGGGGTTGAAGTTCAACATCTTGGGAGTTCCTATATCTGGAACTGCCTTGTGACTTTTTGGTCTTCTTTTTGAGTGATCTTTTGGCAAAAGGATCAATTCTATCGACGAACGTCGTCGCCGACATTGTGGATAATAGAAACCTTTAGTAGTAACAAAAATAACAAGGCAAGCAAACACACTATTTACAAAGGGGTCAGTATAAGATCACTCTGCATTTCACTACTTCGAATTTTCGTCAAATTGTACAGAATTTCAAACGCATCATTTGAGTGTATTTATAGTCCAGAATTTATGAATGGTTGCTAAATATCAATGACAAGCCACAAGGTGTGTGCTTATACTTATACTTCAGAGCACGCCCAATTATCAACTGGTTCGATTCTAAAGAAATTATTTCGTTAATCTTAAATCGATTGTATTTTCCCTCGGTGGCTAATATATACAATTCTCGTGATAAAAACCACTCTAAAAATCTTCCAATGTATGTTCACTCAACTGCCAAGCCATTCCCGTATTTTCACCCGCCATCAGCTGGTTATTGCTGAACAAAATTACTCGAAAATAACGATTTTTACACATTCAGTTTTTGTTTGCACATTTTTCTCACGATAAACGATTTCAACAATTTATCCGTCACACTTCACTTTTACTAAATTTCGTAAAATTAACGAGTAATATTTTTTAGTCTGAATGATTTGCGATGCCGTAGGTACCTAGGACTGAAAATAGATGGGAGGTTTGCAATAGTCAAGCGCACTTCCAAATTGACACTTTTGGGATGAAAACGTTAAATTATCGACACTGACGTCAATTAAAAATCTTAATACATTTTTATGACTAATTTCTAAGCAGATTTATGCTTCTTTCCCTTTAAAAAACCGAATTTTATTACTCGGTTACTCCTGGTTACACTGAATTGAAATAATTGAAATAACCTTGTGTCTTATGTCAAATATTTGGTTAATATTTATATGACCAACACAATCTTGTCAACAATACATAAGATTCCACAGACAATTTTATGTAATCGATATTGAATATATACAAATTATTTATTTAAAATATTTTATTGGCTATGTTTCTACCATAGTAAGAATGCATTATTCATCAAACTTTTCATAAAATAGTTGAAAAAAATTACTAAGCCTACATTAAAATTTTTGACATTTGAACAGTTAATTCTTACAGATAAAATTTTTAATATAGAAATATACTAAACTCAAATTTTATTTAACTAAGTAAAAAAATCAGTCCAAATATTTTCTAGAATATTTCAAGAAAATGACCCTATGCCTAAGTACGTTGTATAACTGGTTGTCTAATCAACGAAAAATATACCACAATACTTATAACCGAATTTGTCGGTTATACTTTGGTTATCAGATATCGCACCTTGAAAACCGTAGGGCAGTAACTGCAAAAATCATACATAATGTTGAGTTGAGCATTTTTATTTTTTTTTAATTTAATATTATTTAGTGTAATTCCAAAAATGAAGTTACTAACCTTTTATTTAGTATGATTGTCTGTAATTTTGCATATTTTTATATGCATTAAGGAGTATGTAAAATTTCCTTCAGGAAATAGGTATTTTAGAACATACGGCCGTATGGTTTTAAAAAATATGTTAATTTTCGCAAATAATGCCGTAAAAATGCCTAGCAAATAAATGTTTTTTATTTAAGATTGTACTTATGTACTTACAAATTATGTACAAATTTTTAGTGTTAACACTTAATCAAAGTCATGTATAGTATTATAATCTGTTCGGTTTCTGCCGTTGCATTGACCACGTGTAAATATGCATAAATCCTATGATATTGCTCTTGAATAACATTACCTTACATAGTGAGAGCAGATATCTTGATTTTTGATATTGGATATTCCTGCTGGATGCGAAAATGCTTTACTTAGTTCCATATTATAGCCACCATCCCTCGTTTTCTTCTCCTTATATTAATGGTTCTGTGAACTCTGTATCGTTGTAGCTTGTCTTAACTTGAAACTTATTTTCAAATGTTTTCTTCACCTTTATAATCTTAATGCCATTACAGACGGCCTGATTTCCTTCTCCGTCAATGTTATAATTGTTCTCCATTTCCTTACAAAGTTTTTTTAAGTCCAATGTATCCGATGTAGACATTTCATTCATTTTGTAAGGTTCACCTGTTTTTTTCGAGGTTTGAACTACTGTAACCCATTGCACAGGCACGTAAATTGGGCCTCCTTTTAAAGCACTTTTTTGTTTCTCAATCAAAGAATGCATGTTCTCTTTCTTATTTTGGAAGTGACCCATTATCAAAAATTTGTGGGTAATTTTAGATAATTAATTATGTTCAATTTTTGTACTGCATGGAGATAAAGCAGACAATATACTTACTTGTTCTTATTTTGCCGACTGTCTTTATGTGAGTATAATATTATTTCCTGCTCCATGGCATGATTCCTCAGAACTTGTAACAGGCAGGACGCAAACGCAATTTCTTTTGGTAGCACAACGATCACAGCATAATGAACAATTTTGTGCCTATGCTGTGCCACGATTAACAACAGTTCCCTTGAACCAAAGGTAGCAGTATCCTGCAATTGTGGTTAGGTCAAAAATTGTGAAGTTAAATTTTGATAATCTTGATGATAATTTTGATTTTGAGTTATTTTCTTTCTCTTTTCCATTGAGTTCCACTTTTTGCGGGTGAGTATTATAGGCTGCTTCTAATGTATTTTTGTAACTTTCACATCTTAAAGAAGACCATAAATTTTATTAAATTCAGTGTTAAATATAATCATAAACGTAGAGTAATTTCCGAACACCGAACCTTTTTCTTTGTAAATTTTATATAATCGCGATGAATATCCTTACGAGTTTTGTCACCACTGACGAATTCTATGGTAGTTTGTTTCCTTAGGTAGTGAGATTTCACTCTAGAAATCGATTTTATGTAACTCATTATGTTTTATTGATTCGTTTAATCTTTTTCCATTCTTGTTAGTTCCTCGCTTGTCTTCTGGGATAAACCCATCTACAGTACCACGTTGTATATTTGTTATAGTCTTGCCGCTTTTTCCCAGTGTTGCGATAAATTGTGCTTATATACTTTATGTTTCTTGACTTCCTGTTCAAAGAAATAGGCATAGTTTGCCCCACGAGTAGGTACTGTCTGTATTTAGTCTTCTATATTTCAATTTAGTTTTCTCCATTGATCTTCGCATAAAATTCCACGGAAAATGTAAATTTCAATTTTTGTAAATCAAATTTTTGCATTCAAATTTTGATTTTCCCTCAGTACATCTTGCTTTCATATTACGATCGGGGTCATATATTATTTTTTATTAACATAGTCCATTCCTGAATTTCATAGTTTCTTTCTTTTGTTTTCCCCCATTCCTCTAGTTAACATTTTTCTCTGTTTACTTTTCTTTTTAGGGCTTATTACCACAACATCTCTATTTTCAAGAGTATTAAAATCAGTAACATTATTCGGTCTTGGATAAATTTCCTCATCTGTGTTGTCATCCGAAGCTGAATTCGATTTGATTTGAGGTTGCCAGGTACGATCTTCGTCACTGAGTTCTCCAAATAATGACTCAGATGAATATCTTTCCTCATCGTCGCTCGATTTTGTTGACGGTTGAAAACCGAGTGGATCGTTATAAACAGATATTTCATTTTGATCACCAATTTGTATGATTTAATAACCATGATGTTGCCCTCATTTCTTTTCGTTTCCTCTGGTATAATAGGTAGTTATTAAATTAGTCATTATGTTCTTCGTTACCTTTTCTCAAGATAAAACAATATACAATGCGAAAAACTCAAAAAGAAATCCAATAACTAAAGAATGAAACAATTATAAAAGGTATATAATTTTAAAAACCCAATCGGGCTATCACAAAACGTTTTTGGAATCCATATTCCATCATCAGTGTCCTAAAAAGTATATAACGACTTAATTAAAAACAACGTGAAATTTAAATTTTGACCAAGGTTAATGCAAAATGTGGTTAATATTTACTAGGTATATATGTATGTAGCCACTAAATATGTGGGTAAAAACCCGTTAAAAATTGTTTGTTTAAATTTAGTTTACATTATGTGTTATTAATTATTATGATGTTAAAGTTACCAGTGTATTTGGTAACATGGCGACGTATGACTACAGGTGAGACAGGTGTGCCTACGAGGACTTGATGAAAGCAACTGATTGAAATGACAATCTTGACAAGTTAAGACTTAAGTCCGAACAAAACAGTTAGTTCTTCTTAGTCCTTAGTTCACTCCAAAACCTCTCTTTCAATACATCATACTCTCCATCTTTCCCCACTTCTTTCTATTCAACCCAAACTTCAAGTCTGACCCCTATACCTAATGTTTTCCATGCTTCTCTTTCAACACCTCTAAATTCAGAATAGATTATTCGTCATCCCCCTCCTATACTATTCAGTTCTTATTTTACTCATCCATACAACTTCCTCAGGGTTTGGTTTCGGATCTCTGGAGACCTCAGCCTTCTGTAGTCTTTCCTCGTCTCACAATTTAAAAAAAAAACACCATAATTTTCTCCTTTTTACTTAAATTTAACAGAGCCACCTATAACCATTTCATTTTCACAGTTCTTGTCAATATATACCAATAGTAAGGTGAAGTAAGGTATATTCGTGATAATTATAGGTTATTTAATTAATGCGGTTAAAGGTTTTAATTTTATACCGTAAAAATATTACCAAAAAGGAGACTTATCATTCAGTAACAACTACAAGTTACTATTTTGTGTAAAATATTATAAAGTTTAATAATTTATGTATTTTTTTAAATTTTGTTCAGGTAAGGTAATTTCGTGACATGGATATTCAATTTCGTGATAGAGGTAAGGTAAATTCGTGACAATCCAATTTGTGTGCATAAAATTTTTTTAATAATAAAAATTTCATTTATTAGGTAAAATTAGGTAATTTCTTAACAAATAAAAACAAAATTAAAATTCTTTACAAGAAAAGTAAATCCATATTTTGAAAAAATAAAACAAAACTAAATTAATTAAAAACAAAAACAGGTGGTAGACAAATAACTTAATCTTCAGAATCATTAATGGTGTCTTCATTGTTTCCACACATGTCGCACATAAAAACATCCTCTTCGGCATCAGACGATTGCACATAACATGGTATGGAATCAGGCAGTAGGAACACTGGACCCACTTGGCACCATTTTTTTCTTTTACACTAGTGAATAACTATTACCACACATTCCGCAATCCCAGTCATTATCTTCAGAAACCGCTCTTTTATTGGTTGGGGCTAGAACACAGGATGATGACGTAGATGGTGCATGAATTGGTGAAGAAGGAATAACACTTTCAGGATTGAGGCCTAATACACATGGTGATGACGTAGATGCTGTATCGCTTATTGAAGAAGGCACACCACTTTCAGAATTAAGGCACTTTGCTCTTGAATCGCGCTTCTTTCTATTCGGATTTGCAGCAACTGGATTTGTTGGAAGAGACAATATGTTGCTAAATGGATTTTGTTGCGTAAGAGCTCCTGCACGTTGATTAGGTATCTCATTAGAAGTGAGTAGAGAAGGTGCAAAAGCTTCCTTAGGAATGGCATTGCTATCAAAGGGACATATCCCAGATTTTCTGAACGCATTTGTAATGTTTGATGCGGAAAAACTTGAAATGTATGCCGGATTTAGAATGGTGTGAAAATTGGTT